ACCATATTAGACCGAGAGATACGTGTCGGTTTGAAAAAACGTACTCGACACGTATCAAGCACCTCGGGGCGAAGGTTTTATAAGTCGATGGTACGTGATCTCAGTTAACAGGATTTTTAGTGACGCCCGAGAACACGTGTTTTCATCTTGGAGTATTTCAGAAAAGTCCCATCAAATAATAATAACCATATTGAACTTGTCTCTTCAAATTCTCACTTCAATGGCAATTGTGTATATTGATTTAAGGAATGGGTGCACGGTGGGTTTTGAGGAACAAATTCTTTTGATGAAAACTACAATGTTTTCCCTTCAATGATAATTATGTATATTGAATTGATGGAGTTTGCTTTAGTCCTTCTTTCTTCAACAGTGGATATTTCTCATTTCCCATTCCTTTTTCTTCCTGTTGACCTACAACTACAAGTTGCCTTTAAAGCCAAAAAAAAAAGGCGTACTATGCTATGATACACTAGTTCTTGGCATGTCTATGCGATCTTTTTTATGAATTCATTCAGACAAGAATGTTTGATCATGGACCACACTAAGCTTATCCGAAAGTTGTCTTGAAGCGCTTGATTATATGGCTAAGGTTTTGGAGATAGAACAAACCAATTTAGCATTCAGGGATGGATCAAAGTTGAGGAGTATTTACTTCAGTTCTTTGACGCAATTATGTCCATTGACGTATGTATCCTAGCAGATAGGAGTGGCTTACGTGTTCTCAAGTTTGAAGTTATTTGAAAGAGTCGTTCATGAAAATTTAATTAATTAAACCTTTTTTTATTGCAAATAATTTTCCGCATTTTACTAGGATATGTGTTTTGCAAGAGTTTAATCTCATTTATATATGCTAGTAGATGTTCAAGCATGTTTGCACCTGGATTATTTTGATTAACAATTTTAGTTTTTATTTGTTATTATTATTTTTGCAATCTAAGTGTAATATTTGGCGATTCGAGTTTAGATATTTGTGTTTTAATTAACAGTAACATTGAATGAAAAAAAGTGCATATTAAAACTTCTAATTTAACAAATGATTTCTTCCAAGAAATACTTAACTTTGTCGCCGAATGAATTTCACCCTTAACAATGGAATATCTCACATAATTCAACTCTCAATAATTCACTACTTATTTTTATTAAACGACAAAACTCTTGTTGCACATAATCGATTTTTGAAATAATCCCCGCTATAACATGTCCACAAAGTAGTATGCTAAATTTCACTCTTTGACAAAGTATCAAGAAATCATAGTATTTTTATTATTGACCAAACAATCATTGTGTTCAACTTGTCAAAAAAATAAATAAATAAAGTGTATTAACGACTTTGTCCTTTTTTCTGGGAAATTCAAGAATAGGGGTGTGTCAATTTGTATTGTATTGTGTCACCTTCATGTTGTTATTTTTGGATCATATCATTTTAATTTGTAACGTGTTAGTGTCGATGGATAATATTGACACCATTGTTTAGAAACATAGAGAGAAATAGGGCATTCGTGTATGGTCGAATAAAATAAACTTTGGGTGGTATGGTTGGAGTACCTAGGAAGAAGGTGATGCATATGAATTGAGAGCTGGTCTTCAAAGCCAAGAAATATGATCTCACAGCCATTTAAGTTTTAAAGTCAACACGAATTAGACGTGACAAGAATACAAGACATCAAATCATGAGCCTGACCCATCCTGTGGAGGCCCAGCAGCTCCATTTTGCTCCTTTGTATTGTGCTTTTCAATTGTACTTTTAGGCATGGTGAGTATGGACCATCACTATTCCCAACAATGATCTATTAGCAAGGTTGCTTTGAAAGCTTGAGGACATTGAATTTATGCTAATGGCTATTCTCATTTCCCATTGATATGTAGTCACTTGATCTACAATGAAAGGACTCGAGGGCTGAGGCCAACTTAAGGGACTCTTGAAGCTTAATAAACTATGGGCTAAGGCAATACGGCACCAACTTGGTGGGCAAAATTAACCTTATTGTTGTACGCATGTCCTCTGATAGGTTTTAGGGTCGGCCCAACGGGCAAGCCATATTCTTCTCCCTTACTAGCCCGGGATATTTTGGGTATTAGTTGGGAGCTCGGCCCCACCCCAATTGTGTTGTGAATAGATTCGGGTCATTTCTCAAATTCGGGTCTTAGCTAAAGTGCCTGATCTAATATATTTTTCATCAATTTTCTTTGGTTGTTGATTTGAAATTAAGTGGAATTCATTGTTCGCAAGTGACAACCCTTCTTTCTTTCAGTTTTCTTATAAACTGTTTATTTATAATTAATTAATGATAAGTTCACTTGTATATAATAAGTCCCACTTAAATACATGATAAGTGATTTGTCATAAAATAAATTAAATAAAAAATGTATCTCAAAGAATCTCACTCTTTTTAAGGAGACATATTGATGGTACACCGCAAATTATCAATTTTCATTTTTTTTTAAAACTATATTTTCGGTGCTTCCAAACTATATATACTTTTGGCCTTTTGGTATTATACTTGTGCAATGTTAATAATCTCTAAATTATTTTCCTCTCGGTTAAAATCGAAAAAACACTAATAAGTCATATTTTTCATTTCAAAAAACAATTCAGTCTTATCAAATTTATGATTGAACAATCAAGTCCTACTTTTCATAATTAATTTCGTCTTAATTTTTATTACATTTCATTTTTACCCTTTTGGTATTAATTACAAAAATGTCATTGTCATGTGTTACTCAATCAGCTCATGGTTTTGAATCAATTTGAGTTATGAGCTCTTCACATAAAAGTCATCTGCATAACTCGTATGAGTTTTCAACATCACAAAATGCAAAGCGAACTTGAACTTGAATATGCGGCAAACCTTTTAAAAAAAAAATTCTCAAATAAATTACAGAGACTTATGAGACAAATGTTGTGAGGGAAAAAAAAATCCTTTTTACTGTCTTTTTTGGGGTTATTTAATTAATAAAGGATGATGTCAATTTTATAATTAATACTAAAAGCGTAAAAATGGGATATAGTAGAAATTAGGACTTCTTTGGAACTAATAATAAAAAATAAGACTTAATTATTCAAATATAAATTTGATAGGACTGAATCATTTTTTGAGGCGAAAAGTAAGATTTATTGATGTTTTTTCCTTGTTTATATTAGGGTTAACAAAAAGTTGTGTCAGTTTGGATCATGTTTAAGTCATGTTGTGTCAAAAAAAAAAAAATTATTCATACACGACCCATCTATACTATTGTATAAGTAACGTACCAACAGGTTCATATCAAGTCATCTCTTGATTATCTCTTGATTATGACGTGGGATTTTTCAAACTAAATTCATACGCAACAATTTTCTTAAAAGTTAAAGACAACTTAGGGCATTACTCAATAAGAAATACTATAGGGATTTAATTTCGGGGCTTAAGTCATTTCAGTCACTGAATTATTGTGAATTTCACTATCTGATTGGTAGGATTAAATATTGGGTAGATAAAAAAGTGGGGTGGAGATCCTCTGCTATTGGGAGTCTAATAGCAGATTTTGCTGTTAAGTGGGACGGCGCCGTTTTGGCACCAGTCTGCTCCAGCAAAAAGACACAAACAAACGACGTCGTTCATTTTGGGACCAATCTGCTCCAAACGGCGTCGTTTGCTTGGCCTCTCTTAAGTTAAAACACAAGCCAAACGAAACCCCTGAAAATTGCAGTTTGTTGCCTTCTCCAGAAAAACGAAATCCCAACACTCATCTTACTCGTTGTGATGTCGTTTGCTCCAACCGTTGGTTGCTGTCTTCTTCGCTGGAACAGATTGATCCAGCAAAGGATCTCCACCCCAGATTGTATTTGTGCCCTTTTTTCCCGAAGCTGCGATATTGCACCACGAAACTGATTATATGAAGCGTAGATTGGGGGGTTTTTTGCTGTCTGGGAAGCTTCGCTGCTGTTTTGGGTTTTGTATGAAATGCAGATTGGGGGTTTTGTATGAACTGTCTTGTAATTCTTTGTTTCAATCTATAAATTTCTTTTTTTTTTTAAAAAAAATATATAACCTAAACCTTTGTCATGAGTAATTATATTGGTAAATTCAAATGCCAAAGAGTGTCTGCTACTTCCCAGATGGACGAGGACTCCAGCTAGATTTCAACAATAATTTGTGCAGCATAACTTTATCCGAATTTTTTTATTTAACTAACATGAGATAATACATGTAATCATCTCAATCATTGTATTTTATTTTATGTAGATAAAATTGGAAATTACACATGCATTTTTTTTTCTTATTAAACAATAATTGTAAATTAATTTTATACATGATGACATAAATGGTAAATTCATCTATCTAACTTTTCATTCATCAAATGAAATAAAAAAGGAATAAAACCAAATTTATTTCCATTATCAATAGAAAGTATATTCCCTATCACTAAATATACGATTAGTGTTTGATGAAATTTATTTTTAATTCAATATTATAATTGATTAATTTTTCAAATTAAATTCTTAAATTAGAAAAAAAATTATATTTTTCTTATTTAAATTAAGTCCATCTCACTTATCTAAACAAAGTGAGAGATAAGGCTACAGTATTGATTTTGGTACCATATCTTTATCGATTTTTGTCATTAAAATTTAATTGAATAATTTTTAATTTTAATTAAAAATAATAAATTTTAAAAATGATTAAAATGTAAACATAATATTTTCTTATTGATAAACAAATAAAAATATATTATCAAAAAAATATTTTTTTCTATCATAATGGGACCCAATAGGTGATCCATTCATGTCATTGAATAGCTATTTTACATGAAATTCACTTATCCACATATTCATATCATTATTATAATATAGTGTAAACTTTATATTCAATATTTATTATCAATATGCTAATTATTTAATCTACAGTTTTTTTTAATACTGTTATAGATTGATAAATTTATTTAAAAATAGTTGTACATTCGTAAATAATTCATAAACATGCGATTCACCACTGTACAACAGAGAGTGGTACCGCAAAATGTCAAACCACGTGCTTGTACAGCTGACCAAAATGAACCAAAGACCCGTTTGGTGGATCATTCTGGGACGTAACGGAGGTGGGTGACACTTCTCTGTCTCCAACAGTCAACAATTCCTCCCCCTTCCAAGTTCAACCTTTGGAATGTTATCGCTGTGTATATAATATTAGGCAGAGACGGCTAAGTTATGATACTATTATTACCTCAGAGCCCTTTATCGTCTACATAGCCCGGTCTTTTTACCCTTCTTTTGATTCTTCTTCGAGGAAACAATCCAAGCGAGCAGAGTCTAAGTTCTATTCCTTCAATCTTTCAGCCGCCTTTATTCAGGTTTGGCTTTCTCACCGCCGTTATTTTGGCCTTAATTTGTTCTATCTTTTGACCATTGAAAAAGATACGTAACACTCTTGGCATGTCTATGTTTGGCACCGAATGTATCACTATTTGAGAACTCATTCAGACCTTTTCTTTGTGTGGTTTTCGAGTTTTAGCGATTTTCTAATCTGGGTAGTTCAGTTTTTGGGTTTGGTGGATTGAGTGTGAAAGAATTTGGACCATGCTGGGTGGAAATGTCCAATCTGGGTAGATAAGTATAGCCAAAAATCTTAATAGCTCCCTTTTGAATAATAGTCGTTGGCTTTTAGCTCTTGTCTCATATGGGTTTAGCTTATTTCTGCATTTAGCAAATCGGAGATCTAAGAATTTTTGTCTAATTCTGAGTATTTCGCACTTTGGATTCTTCGCATTTAGATTTCTAGTTCTCGAAACAACTCGGATTGAAGTGGATTGAAGTGTTTATCAGTTTTCTGAATTGGGGGTTTGGGATATTTGATTTAATTTTAGTGCTCTGAGGAATTGAAGTTACCTGTCTTTAGCTCTTTCAGATTTATGAAATCAAATATTAGAAGGTTCTAGATTTTCAGTTCTTTTCGTACATGTGTTTATCCCCTTAGTCGATTTGTCAAATTGGGTTTTGAAGACTTTGGTTGACTTCATCGGGATTCTGGAAATTGAGCTTGCCTGATTACAGCATTTTTTATCCTTTGAACCTGATCAGATTATTATTCTAACCTTTCAACACTTCCATCTGGGCTTCTCTCCTTTGTCAGGTTGGTGAATTACAGCTTGTGGATTGTGCTTCTCAGAGCTATGTACTGTTTGTCTAGCTATTCTTGGCTGCAGCCTAAATAATCGTAATGCCTCCTTTAATGCTTGGTGTTGAAACATGAAATTTGAATGTTATAGTTCGTTGAGAGCAGCAGCCATTGTGTTGAGTCTGCTATTGTTGGTGCAATTGTCTAGAGGAGTTACCTCTGGGTTGTTGATACACTCGAAGCCTTGTGGAAATTATCATCTCAGCTATTCAAGTGGTCCTGGTCATGAATTGTTATACATAAATGGGAAATTGGTAAACAAGGATTTGTTCTGCAAGGCCCTCAAATTGTTCCATGCAAATCATTGCTTCAATATAGGAGACCTCAGAAATAAATACTGCCGATCAGATCATTCATTAGGTCTGCACAATTATGAAATTTTGCTTTGAGGTTTCTTTCAGCAAATCATCTCATCCAGCATCGTTAGGGAAAAAATGCAGCTATTTTATTCATGGTTTTAGATGCGTAGGTTATGGTTGATTGCTGATACCTTGTTTGAAATAGTACTTCTTTGTATTATCCTGCAGATGAGTTACGCCTGGTGGCAGGAAGAAAGTTTTTGTGGGAGGCGGGTAGAGAAGAATTTACAGGACAAAATTTTGGTCAGAAAAGCCAGGCGAATAAAGAAAAAGATACTCACAAATCTCTCTTGACCACAAATAGGTTGGCCATGGCAGTCCCAGGAGTTTTCATTCTGTGTTGCAGTTTACTTTGCCCCTGCTTTCGGGCAAGGAGGAGAGATACTTCCCATGTTGTTCTTGTGAAGGAACAAAGTTCAAGTGAGTGAAATCCAAAACTAAATAAATAATTAAAGAAAAAACCACTAACAGTGAATGAGTGCCACTGATATACATGGACATTTATGATTTGAGTAAGTTAATTTGGAGAAAGTAATCAGTTGTTGAAAAATTCTGCCCCATCTGTTCTATGTGAAAAATGACAGTTATGCAGTTCATTTATAACATATATTCTTTCTTTAGTTATCTTGCATTCATTCTGATACATTTTTGCTTAGTCTCATCAATGTTTATGTTTAAATTATGTTGCTCTTGTAGTGGATTCCGTTTCGTCTTTGGAAATGAATTCGGTTGCTGAAAAGATTCCAGCAAGTCCAACGCGAGTGCCACCTAGTCCTTCTAGATTTTCCATTTCGCCAAAGCTTAATAGAGTTGGATCAGTTCATCTCAATATGAATCAGGTTGCTAGAGCTACTCACAATTTCTCAGCAACATCTAAGTTAGGTGAAGGAGGGTTTGGAACTGTCTACAAGGCTCAGCTACCAGATGGCCAGGTAGTTGCCATAAAACGAGCAAAGAAGGTAAGCTACATCTTTTTATGACTTTGAATATACTGCCTCTACATAATATTCTGCTCTCGTGACAGTATAATTGCTCATTTTATTTTGTCATAAGAACATGTTTTGTTATTGTTCCAATCCATGTGGAGCAGTCTACCCCAGCTGAAGATTTTGATAAAGAAAACTCCATCTATATTTGGGGAAACGAGATGTCTGGTGGATCATTCCCTTCCTCACGATTCTATATGTGGGATGCTAAACATTACCTAGAGGGGAGGTGAATAGGTTAACTCAAATTATGGCACAAACAATCACCAATTTTAAACCTAACCCATCACAATTACCAAATACAAAGTTAACTTGTCAATTGAATTCTTGAACCCCTTTTCTCAACCCAAAAATCCCGTCATATGATGAGATGTAAAGATATGACAATTGATTGATTTACACTCTAACTCACCATGACCACGGTCGCACCAAAGCCTTTGATTACATAATCCTTTTTAATGAATTGATAGACAACCAATCATTCATTCAAACTCATATTAAGCGTGTGTGTGAATTGCAAGTGTATAGGCAAAATTAAAGCGATAAAAAACACAAACAATTTGTTGATGCAGAAACCCAACCAAAAAAAACTGCAGGAAACCACTCGGGGTTCACTAAGCCAAATTCATTAACCCAAAATCGATTGACAAGTACTTGAGAATTTATACCTCAACCAATACCGTGGTTAGATACTCATTTCCTTCAATAAATCTCTCATTCGAATTCCCCCATTAGAGCTATGGACAGATTCACTTGAACTCCTCCTCCACTACAATGGATAGTTTAGACTCTGTAAGCGACCTTCTACACCAAGGTCCTCAGGATGCACACTCTTTCAATGGGTTTTGCAACTCCAAGCAAGAACTTCTACTTCAATGTGTGAAGTTTAATAGAAGATTCAAGATGGATGACCTTTGGTCTTTGGGATTTAGGATTTTTAGATGATCTCTTAAGGTTTAGGAGGCTAAAAATATGTCACAAAAGAGATACCCTAGCTTTAGAATACTTCCCCTATTTATAGGCTCGGAATTAGGCCAAAGTTGGGGCCAAAGGGTGGTCCCCACTGCCCAACTCAATGTTTGGAGACCTCTGTAGTCGAAAGTAAGTGAGCAAAGGGCAGTCTTTACTAGTTTCAAAGCCGAAAATCAAAGTAAAACTAGTTCTTTTTAGCACTAAAAGGCGTTGCTCAAGTAGGGTCCGATCAATGGCTAAATCTATCTTTTTAAAACACAATTAAGGTTTTTTAGAAAAACTTTTGCAATGAAAAACCCTAGGAGTCATTTATGGATTTTTCCAATTTCATTTTCATAATCCTAATCATCCTAAGTATAAAATTAAACCAAGGGATCTATATCTTTAAATCATTACCTTTGTTCTAAATTTGAAGGTGCATTGAAGAACTCATGATATGGCCTTGTAGTTTGAACTCCTTCCTTCCTTGATGCTTACGGATCTTGGTTTTTGGAACTACATCACGATGGAATTAAGTTGAGATTATACAATACTTCACGAAGTTAGTCAATTACAAACATATTCCTAACAATATCCAAATTAGATGAATGGAGTTTCCTCAAAAGCTTTGAGAAAAAAAAAATTAGAAGGAAATAAATTTTAAGTGATGTGAGATGCATAAAAGAAATAGAAAGTATCATATGGTAGAAAGCATTTTGCTACTCTTTCAGCAGCTTAAAAGATAATGGCACATGTTCCTTTTCACCATTTAGCAAGAGCTATAGAAGATAACCTTTTGAGGTACAAATTTTCAAACACAATAAATTAAACAAATCTGTGGAATATATCATTGTTTTTGTTTTCTTCTTCGATTTTTGGTGATCTGTTTGGCTGGATAAAATTCTATGCTTCAATTAAGAAAAAGGAGTTTCTCTACCTTAGTTGGGGATACTTACTATATCTGAAGTAATTTCTGGTGTAGGATTCCCAATTTGCTCATTATAGATCATCTTTCGGGATTTGAAACAAAAATGACTGTTCAATAATTTTAGTGTAGTTGTGCCCACTAAAGCATCAAGATTTTACTTGTATAGATAGATCATTATCAAATGTTTTCCTTCGAAAGTATATCATGATGTGCATATATCAAGATATAACCATTGAACAGGAATACTCCGAAACTCTAGCAACTGAATTCAGAAGTGAAGTTGAACTCCTGGCAAAAATTGAACATCGAAATCTAGTGAAGCTACTTGGCTATGTCGATAAAGGAAGTGAGCGTATTCTCATCACGGAGTATGTGCCGAATGGGACTCTTAGAGAACATCTTGATGGTAATGTTTTCAAACTCTAAATGATTAGCCAATATTTCAATTTGTGGTGGAACTTTAGTGCTCATAGTTTGGCTGCTGTTCCTGGCAGGTCAGCGGGGCAAAATCTTGGATTTTAATCAGCGACTTGAAATCTCTATTGATGTTGCTCATGCCCTAACTTATCTCCACGTATATGCAGGTGAGGACACTCTCCATTTGTTAATTTGTTTCTGTGATTAGTGTGTGTAAGTCATTCAAGTATCAGGCTGAATTATTCTGCCTGAGTAAACATAAAAACTGTCAGGAAAAAATAAAATCAATGGGGATTACAACTTTTAGTGATTGGAATAGTGGCTTCCTGTTTCCAGATTTTTTTGTCTCGTGCTTCATCTTATTAGCTAACAAAAATAGAATCTATGACAGGAAGTGCTGTGGGCTTCACAACTACCCTTGTATTCGTTAGTTAAGCCATTAATGAAGACCATGCACTAGCTGAATTATATAGGACTACTCTGTTGAATTCCCTAACATATGCTCCTATGTTAGTTGGGGCTTAGTTTTGTGATATCCAACCTCTGGCCTGTCTCTATTATTTACATTTTTGTTTAAGATTGTGCGAGTCATACTTTCCTTTGTTCAGTCATTTTTTTGCTTCTAACTGTCAAATTTGTGTCTCTACCATGTGAGGTTACTTCTGTAATCTTTTGAGGGTTATCACTTGAATATTTTATTCATCTTTCATGCAAATAGGCTATACATTTATAAAAGCCAAATTGAGATACATCTCACTTCTTGGACCTGAGTTTCTCTCTTTTCACTGAATTCAACAATCCCGTTTTGTAATTTTCTGATTCTGGATTGAGAGCTTCAATTTGTCCTTGTTATCATTTGCTTCCCCCATGTGAATTTGTGTCAGAGCCTTGACTAACCAGGTCTAATCACAAGCATTGAAGATGCAAGTGGCCTTCCTTGTTGCGTCAAAATGAGAAGAAATACTATACATGTAACTGTGAAGACAATAGGTTCTTATTATCCATGGAGCTCACAATCAAAATATCTGTGGAGAAAATCCTTTTTGGAGGAGTTTTATTTGGTTTAGAGATAATGAAAATCCAGAGAAATATATTTCAAATATCTTTCTTGACTAATAGAAAAATGCAAGCTCACAAGTACGGTGTTCATGTTGGATATTTTTTAGTCGTTGAGAGAATGTTGCATTTGCTGGCGGCCTAAAATGATGAAGCTAATACTGCAAAAACTATTGCCCAACATGTATCAATAAATACTAAAGAAAAAACTGAGGCCAACGCCTATAGAAGTGTTCATGCATGTTATCCTGTTTTAATGTGCATTCCCTTGCACTTTATATGTTGGATTTTTTTTGCTTGTTCCTTTTTTTTTTTTGTGGGTCTGAGCATCTTGGATCTTTAATGCTTACCATTTTGTTGATCTTGTAACAGAGAAGCCAATTATTCACCGTGACGTTAAGTCATCCAATATTCTTCTGACAGAGAGCAAGAGAGCAAAAGTTGCCGATTTTGGATTTGCAAAGCTTGGAGAGCTGGACAATGATCAAACACATATTGTAACCAAAGTGAAGGGGACAATAGGTTACCTTGACCCAGAGTATATGAGGACTCATCAACTCACCACAAAAAGCGATGTGTTCTCATTTGGGATTTTATTATTAGAAATTCTGACGGGCCGTCGTCCTGTGGAATCAAACAGACCTACTGATGAGAGGGTGACACTTAGATGGGTAAGCTTCTCATTTTCTCTTGACAATATTTATTCTGGACACCCCAATTTTCAGTGCAACAAAGGCATCACCCAGACCTTATAAAGTTCCCAATGCTGACATTGCACTTCACTGGAGGTGCTTATTCAAGTCTAAAACTACATTAGCCCCCCCAGGAAACTAAAGACACTACTGTGATCTCAGTTCATATTTTGCTTAAACCACTGGTAATCTGGGTGGCGAACACCGTGGAACCAGTTCAATGATACCTTGTACCACTTTTTTAGGGCTACAACTTCAAGTGAGGTATAATCCATGTAGTTCACACTAATCTACATAGAACCAATTTAGGATGCAAACAAAAGTGTAATTTGGTCCACTAAGGGCTTGGCAAGACACTTTCTCTTCCCATTTTGACCCTGGTGCAATCGGTTGTCAGCTGTCAGCACACACCTCAACCTATTTTCACAAGTTGGCTGGACTAGCTGCCTAAGATTGAGTGTCACGGAATCTTACTAGTTAGGTTTTATTGTCATATTATTGATCCTAGACTTACCAATTAGTTCTTACGAAAACCAGGGACCACTATGTGTTGGAGGTAGTCGGTTCATACAAAGTGCATTGTTGTAATTAGCATGGGAACTTCATTACCTGAATTTTGATGTACTTATTAGAAAACCCTGTTCAAACTTCTGTTGGAAATTACCATAGTATCCACATTTCATACCCAGCTGACCTTAGTTCAGTTATGCGTATGTGCCATCTAAATGCTGGGAATTTGATTTCTGGACCATTTTTGTTAGGGGACTACAATATAGAATGTAGCATGAGTGCATGATCATCGGATACAGTTGAATCCTGCTTCTTAAAAGCAGAATGCAATGCTGCCTCCTTGCAGGGGAGGCGGGACAGCTTTTATCCACCTTTCTTCGAAGAAAGATTCTAGTATCGACTCTTTCCTGAACCAGACAGGGGGAGGGTGAGAGGAAAAGGGTTCAAAATGTCTCGATTAGATATCCACCAAACTGCCACAAAGTTACATATCTCACCAAACCATTTGCTTGTTTATGTACAAAACTCTGACGATATGTTTGTTTGTAGGCCTTCAAAAAGTACAATGAAGAAAATGTAATGGAGTTGGTGGACCCTCTAATGAATGAAGCAGTAGACCAGGAGATCCTATTGAAGATGGTTGGTTTGGCAATCCACTGTGCAGCACCGACGCGATCGGATCGTCCAGACATGAAGGTAGCGGGAGAACAGCTGTGGGCAATTAGAATGGAGTATCTAAGGAGTGGAAGGAGAGAGTAATTAACGCCAAATTGGGAGTGGCTTTTCAGACTCTCAAAACTATATTTTACTTATTGTATAAAAAACCTCTTCACACAAAATGTACTTGGGTGTTCTCTCTCTTTCTCTTTTTTAATTCCATTTATCATTCTTAAAACTTGTTTGGCTGCTTTTTATTTTCTGAGAAACTTCTAATGGAGAATTCAGAAATCCTAAGTGCCAAATTAAATTGTGTGAAATAAAAATTAGGCTCTGTGAGGGTTCCCACTGGCCAATTTGGATTTCCTGGTGCAAAAGAGATACTAAGAACAATTTGAAGGCGGCCTAATCCAGACCCAGCTCAAGGAAAAAATATTTATTGTAACGATGATGCTATTGTCATTATTGTTACGTTGTATTATCAACTAATAATATACTGATAAATAAAAAAATAGATTTTACACAAATGAATAATTAAATGTTCATATATACAAATAATTATTTACTCTTTTACCATCTAAGACAATAACTACTCAAGTCGAAGTCAAGTTCACTTTGCCAATTTGGAATTGTATTATTATTGTATTGAATATTCTCTCCAGCTCGAGAGGAAAAAGAATAAGTTAAAGAAGATGGCCAGAAGGTACATTGGGAATGATGATGACTGCAGGATTGATAGCGTCAAATTAAGAATGGATAGGGATGAAATCCAACAAGAGAGAAGGAATTTTTTCCCTAGGATTTTCAGAAGAAAGAAATGAGGGTCATGTGTTGGTTAGATTTGCAGAATCTGTTTTTTGTTTTTAAAATTTTAAAAACACACACAACTTATTTGTTTAGCATTTTTGTTTTCAAAATTTTGAAAAAAAATGAAATTTGAGTCAAAGAAACATAAAACAATGAGAACAATTTTGAATTTTAATGAGATCTGCCCTTCGAGTCTCCTTAGTAGCAAATTTCTTCATTCTCTTTTTTTTTTTTTAACTTTTTCCTCTCTCGTAATATACAATATATTATATAATAGATATTATAATATATAATATAATATAATATACATCTACATCTACATTATATATAATATATATTATTATAACATATTATATTATATATTTTAAAGTTTAGTTTATTAAATATTTTTTATTAATGTTTGAATTATTGTTCAAACATATATACTGTCCAGGTTTTACTATTTTCTGTACTGCAAAATTGTTTATGAAATTATCTAACCAAAAAAAAATTTTATCTCAAAAAATATCAAAACCATTTTCTTAAAACTTTTCTCAAAAACTGTTTTCGAATACTATTTTTTAAAACGCAAACTAAACATGCCCGAGGTTTTTAGCCCTTAGCTATCGAGTATTATCAAACATCTGGAAGCCTGTAACATCACAAGAATAATGTCTAAAATTTCATAAATGTTAAATGTCAGAATGTCAACAGTAATAGCAATGAAAATAAGGAGACAATAGCCATTGTAACAGTAATCTGGTCAATCATGCAATAATCTTTGCCATGGTAAGCAGTATTACATTTTTGTCTATACAAAATAGACTATATCCGATGACCGCTGTACATAATCTTGAGTAAACTTATTTTGGCCATTGGTCACTGTAATGGTAGCCTCTCGTAATTTAGAACCAACTAATTTCACCATACCAGCTCCTCAAATCAGGAAGAGCTATCGATTATCCCATACAACGGCTTACTCACTCACACAATACAATCTTATCTCATGATGTCAGACTCACCAAATGCCCTGTGACTTCCACAATATGATTGAAAAAGAATAATGATATCGATCCTGGGATCTGTCCATAGCCTTATGAAGCCAAGAAGCATCCACAAACTTATACCAGGAGCAATTCTGATGCTTGGATGAGATGCCCTAAAAGATTTTGTTCCAAAGGGGAAACCGGAATCTCAATCTTTTCCACCTGCTCCTCACCAAGAAAGGGTGCAAGCCCAATATATGTTCTGGCATGAAATCATGCCTTGTCAATATACCGACGACAGGTAATCTCTGCAAGGAGAGAAATATAGCATTTAAATGCTGTTGTGTAATTGACAATGGGGGCAGGTCATTTGAAAAGGAAACAGAAAGCAAAACAAAAAAATCCAAGGAAAAATGCATGACAAGGAAGGTGGAGACAACCAGAAGGTCACCTCACACAAATATATAATTGCCTAAACTGGCTTTAATTTAGCCAGAATATCTTATCGAATTCAAATAAAAAAAGAAAAGAAAAAAGAAGATAGAAAGAAATCCAGAAAATTTTGGACTTGACATTATTCCGCAGAGTAAGTAAGAAGAACTACAGAAAACAAAGCAGTGTTAGAGGTCATGGAAATAAGGATATCAACAAAACACAGAAGTTCACAATCAAGAAATGAGAAATAAAATAAAATAAAATAAAAGAGCAGGAGAAAAGGTATATTTTATGAGATGGTAGTGCATCAAATATTATTTGCACTTCTCTGGAAGCAGATATAATAGGTTAATTACTGCAATGTGACTACAAATACCAAAATGAAGAATTTTGAGCAAACACAAACAGGTAGAAAATCATCCCAATTAGAGCCACCACCATTGTGCACCTGTCAAGTGAAAATAATGGCATATTCTAGAGTAGCCTAAGATTATATTTCTCCCAGAGAATTGAAATAATAAAGCAAACAGATAGGAAGAAAGTCTCATACCCCAGAAATTTTAGGTATCACCAGCAGATGCCTTAAACCAACTTCTCGGAAAAGTATGAGAGCCTTTGCTAGTGACATTGTCTCCACAACAGTATATGGTGAAGCATTAGTGAAAGGATGCAAATCAATGAACATCTCCATCTCTTCCTCAGTAAGTTCTATATCTTGAATTTTGTCATCTTGACCCAAACCCTTCTTCGCAAAATCATTTGCTGAGAAATACTTAAAAGCATCAACATCAATTGGCTCTGGTGCATGCAAAAAAGCTTTCGTCTTCAGCAACGTGATAAGATGCGCACGGAGGATCAAACCAAACAAAACTGGGGATTCTGAAAGTGGAGGCTCAGCTATCACAGGAAAACCATTATGTCCAGTAGTTCTGAGAACATGTACTATGGTACCAACCTTCTCAATGCCATGAAAGACCTGAAGTGGGCCTGTGACTACATCACCAACCATCAGCTGCCTCATGTATGGCTCCGCATGAGCTTCCAGGTAGGGAAAACCCTTCAACTTCATTATAATGTCATAAATATTCCCATTAAAGGCATCAGCTACAGTCTTGGAGACAAGAAGAACTAGCATTATTAGGGGTAGCAATAATAGGTTATTGGTCAACTCTAGGATAATAACACACAAGGAAACTGTCATCCTCATAGACCCACCAAGAAGAGAAGCAGAACCAAGGACGGCATACAGGCCATGGTTAAGATTTGACCCGGAACTAACTAGCATTCCAACAAAACGTCCATAAGATGCACCTGTCAAAATTACAGGTACAAAGAGACCCGCAGGCGCCACAATCCCATAACTAAAAATACTGAGAAAAAAGCAGGTGACAAAGAATATGAGCATTGATGTGTGGTGGAACTCAGAGTCGGTGTCCTTGCTGAATAGGTTTTTGATTGCATCATCATTTGTATTGAAAAAGAGGCTGGCAAGATCGTTGTACTGACCAGGAGGGCATTGAAATTTCTTGTAGTTACCAGACCGACCAATCGTTGGGCACGGCTCTGTTGCATCAAGTGGGCAAGGTAGGCAAGGTGCAAGCCATGGTAATCCAAATAGAAGACAGGATGTGAAAATGGAGATGGAACAGGCAAGAAGTATTTTGTAAGCAGTGCCTTTCCTGAAAATGGTTAGAAGAATGATGTAAATATGTGTTCTGCAATGTCTGAAAGCACTGATTATAAACGCAAAGGACCACAAAGCTAAAGTAAAAGCTTACTCATTAATTAGATTGTAAATTCGGAGAACTTTATGTAAAATAAAATTGTATACACTTCCCAATATGCCCCCTATAACTCCAAGAATAATAACAGAAGGCACATCCCTGAGGTGATAGGCAACATCTACTGAGGTGACATCATACATTATCAGACCCCCAGTACCAAATAGTCCACACTGGCCTCTCCAACAGACATCAATCAAAGCCCGGAGAACTATTGCAACAATAGCTGTTGTGAAGAAAGCTCTCCACAAAAGGGCACTTCTCCACCTGCAGAACAAAATCTACAACATGAGGATGCTTAACACCTAAAGCGTGTGCTGATAAGCTACTAGCCTAATACAAAGTTTATAAACAATCAGGCACACACACAAGATAGAGAGAGATGGATAAAACTGAGAAAAATAAATTATTAGCACAGGAGGCTAAGAGAATAACCTGTGAGGAACCCTAAAAATATTCACAAAGAAAACCTTTCGTTAAAAAAAAATGGTACAAACAAGAAGTTTGCAAAAATACTGGAAATATCTCATAATTCTTTAGGTAGAAAAGGTTTTTGAAAAAAATTGCATCATATCAGTCAATGATTATATGCCAGTCGATAACCAAGTCTTTTCCTATAAGTTCAGAAGCCCTATGCTATCATCTTAAAGGAAAGTAAATGCTGTCATAAAGACTGCAGAAAAACAACCGAAGCCCAGAGGTTGAATAGGACCAGAACAAATATTGATGACATAAAGAACACGCATGGTTAGAAACAACATAGATCATCATAAGGCTAGTTATGCATTGTGGTATTTATGCAGGGCAGCCAATAGACATCTTGAGACGAACTTAGATAAAACGAAGTTGTTCAAAGTTATGGAGGGCAACAAGAGGAAATTATAGTAATAGAAACTAGTGCAGTCGTTAATGTAATTCTAGCATCAACCGCAAACAAGATGACAGAAAATCACTGAGCGGTTTCTTTAGTAAAGAACAAAAGAGGAACAATTACACTTGTAAGGAGTGATATGGTTCACGTTAAAGGTACTATATGGAAAAGGAGGCGACAAAAGAAGAGGTTGGACAGGAGCTAGCATGAGAAGCATCATAACCTTCACCCTAACTAATTGTATGACCATACCAGAGTAACAAAATCATCACTGATGATTCAGTAAAACCATAAAAGATAAAGGAAGATTTTCCCTTTTGGGGATGCACTATTACCCCCCCCCCCCAAAAAAAAAAAACCCGGGGGCAGCAAACGACATACACAACAATAATAACAATATCATATAGATAAACTCTCACTTCTCCAAGATAATCAATTATCAGTTACAAGAATTACAAAACCAAGAGATCACCAGAACAAAAAACACTCATAGTTTAACACTACCAAGATGCCATTTCTTCAAGAGCAAACAACACACCACCAACTGGAGCACGAAAAGCAGCAGCAATTCCAGCCGCTGAGCCACATGTTACAAGATCCCGCCGGTCTCGATCGTTCTTGAAAAACCGTAACCATTTCCATGTTAACAAATACTTTTTTGACCCACCTTGACCCATTAATGCTGCAATGCATGCACTGGTATGGACCATTGGCCCCGCCTTTCCAACATGAAGAGATGATGACACGGCAGAAATGCTACCAACAATCTGCATATTAAGGTGCTGTTTGTTAAAACAAAAAAAAATCACAGAAAATTAAGCATTGATACAAATTGTTGAACACTTCAAACAGCTGAAATTAAGTACCAAAAAACCAGTTTGTAGCACCTGAAATTTAAGCACTTCAATTAGTTGTTGCACTGTCTGATAAGGTATAAAAAGTTTTGAGTCTGCAATATTAAGTTTGTTGAAGTCTGCAAATTATTAAGTTTACAATTTCTATCCTTCTAATTTTTCACTGATTTTTTCAAGCCAAAAAAAAACTATATGTGATGGTGTATACACGACATAGTCCCTAACACAAATGCACTTGCCTGGATCTAACATCAAAGATTAAATTACAACAGGTGCATCACCAAATGGAACTGATCCCATAGAGGACTACCACAAGCCTTGTGAACTTATCACAACACCTGACCAATATGTCAAAACTTTGGCTGTTGAATTTACTGTGTATAAAGACAGTAAATTGCTGCAAAAAGGAATTGAATATGGAGTACTTGGGAGTCACTAAACAAGTAATGCTTCTCAATATAAAAGTAAAAATTGCACAATTATGAGATATAGAAAATTAAAACAACCACCTCTCGTTTTCAATTGCAGCTGAATTTATCTTAATCTTTTTTACCATTAAATTGTTGGGCAAACAACATTGCAATAACAAGAATGACAATACAAGCTCTAGAGTGCAATAATTGTTAGGTAACTTAGGTTGATAGCACCATTCTCCACACTTATTAGGCCTTTAGTCCAAGGGTGCTGCAGCTTCAGTAATCTGGTGGCTATCTAGAGTGTACTATTTTCATCTCAACTACAGTTATTAGGATACTTCCAATGTTCAGATGAATCCATCCATTGTCTTTCATCGATTCTCATTCACTCATAAGATGAAACTAGACTACTCCACTTTCCCCATCTTCAATTGCAGGTCAGTGGTGCCATGATCACCAACCACTCACTACCATGACCACCATGTATAATATAAAGGCAGACTTCAATAAACCCATCGGACAGTCACAAATAGACTCATTCAAAGGTCACCTATGAAGAACGGATACTTCGTTAAGGTCGAAATATCCGTATCGGATACGATACTCGTCAGATACTCAATAATACGTATCGGATATGCATCAACCGTATCCGATAATTAATAAAATACATGGATACTTCACGGATACTTCTCAATATGGAGCAAGATGTACAATTTTTAATTTTAATCTATACCTCATTCTTTGGAGTTCACATACAATACAAAACACCAATAAAATTTCAACTAATTTTGAAGACACAAGTGTTTTTTAAGTATTATCTATTATTACAATGTAAGAGAGTACAACAAAATGAGTCACTTACACTATGATCTTAAAAATAAATACTTGTAAACAAACTAACTAGTTAAATGTGATTATGATTATTTTAATTGGTCATACTCCTTTTATGAATATATCATAATGAGTCGATATTACATCTTTTTTTAAGGTAAAAATTCTTAATTTTGGTTACTAATGTTAAAGAATTATTGAAAATTGTAATTTCTAAGTCGTTAAATAATAGTAAAATATATAATATATTTTATTATAGACGTATTTTGATCGTACCCGTATCTTTTTTTTTAAATTTTGTTATATCGCCGTATCCATATTATATCGTACTCATGTCACATATCCGTGTTTCTTACACGACCACTAACATTGCTCTCAAAATCATTCACATTGCACCGTACCTTCAGGCATGCATTAATCCTATTTACCTATACAACCACAACCTAGTGTTGTTTTTCACTGCTATGAACACCACTACAAACGAAAGCCATTATCACCCGTCCCACAAACGCTAATACCTATCACCACCATCCCTCTCTACCACCAGTTGTAGCCTACCCACTACCACAACACAACATCACAACCAACTTCTTTCACCATTACAGAAACTACAATTGATTCTTGAAAAGCACCAGCTCTTTTCGGTACCTAGACTTGAACACCACCCACAAACACCACATCACCACTAACACGGAAACCAGGACATTAAATTAAAGAATTTGTCTCCATTGTCATTCCAATCTCCCAAAAGACTGATGGCAAGTGAGAATCAAATTTGAAAAATGTTTTTAAAAAAGCCTTATGCTTCAAGCTCATCACATAAATTTCCGAGAGTAATTTTATCTGAACAAGATAAAACATCACTAAACTTTCATATCAAGGGCCTTAAAAATGGACTATCATACAATCTTTCCTTAATTTTCTGATCAAATCTCACCAAAACAGTGACTTTATACAATACACATCAAAAGAATAAAGAAAACATTCACATCTTTTGTTTTCCACAAGTCCTGCTTCCAAAAGGAGAGAAAGAGAAGTTCAAATACAAAGTGGAATTGACAAAAAATGCGACCAATGACCATTGAAAAATAAATTCAAAGTAGATTTGCAAGGAGTCTATGGCAGAGTAAGAGGGAGAAGGAGAGGGAGAGAGAAAGACATCTGAGCGTTGCAAAGCGTAGAAAAGAGGCATTGTAGAACATCATAGAAACTGAGAATGGATATGCAAATATAATGGGGCAACTATTTATTATGATCAAGATTTTTATTGATATCAATATCACGTTTAATTCAAATTTGCTGAAGATGTGTAGTTCTAAGTGCTGAATTATGTTATCAAACAACCCCCAAGTCAATATCTTGAGATCCGAATGTCTCGAAAAAATTGTTAAGATAGTTTGTATCTCACATCGAATAATTAGGACCATTTTGTTGGTTTATATACTTGAGGGACTACTCTACCCATTTTCAATTGGTTTTGGGTTGGATGCCGATGTTCTACCATGATATCCAGCTCAGAGGTGGTCAGTGGGTCAAGTCTTTTACCTATTTTGAATTTTCATTAATGCATAGTTATGTAAAAAATAGTTGTTTGTTTGTTTATTTGTTTGTTAACCCTTCCATGTGAGCCCGGGTCCCACATCAAGGAGGATGTTAAGAAAGTTTGTATTACACATCAAATAATTAGGACCACCAAGGTTGGTTTATATACTTGAGAGGCTACTCCACTCATTGATTTTCAATTAAATGCTCTTAACAAAAAAAAAAATCATGTTTTTGGATGATAAAATTTACATTGCTCGCTGGAAAAGATGAAATTGTTTAAACAACATATCAAAACACAATGATACGAACGTTATGTAGCAATCACAACTGATGGACCTTTGACAAAAATGGTAGGTTGATATCTAGAGGAAAATTTAATGTTCACTATTTCGAGTTCGAGTTATGATTTCAAGGGAGGGTTGTGATCTATCTAGTATAAGTTTGGTCCCCATTATCAAGGGTGCTCCGAAAGTTTGCCTGGGTGTATACTATCCTTAGAACAGAGTGATATTCCATTCTGTACATATTTATTTACAAATAGTTCAAACTAGGCACATTTGAGAACTTGCACAATTTATGAAAATCCCATAATTGAAGCCATGTCATGTCAATTCAAAACACTTCACATGTCTGAAAAATTCTTGGTAGCATAGAGGAAGAATTCTCTTATAACCACTTTCTGAACACCTATTCTATAAAAGAAGAATACTGTGTTACATATCAGAAGAAAAAAGAAGAATTGGGAGAAGGCAAAATAAGAAGAAGAGCATTTTGTCTTGCTCGTTCTCATGTAAAACCTAGTCTTTGGTGACGAATGAATTACAAAGCATTTATGAAAACTTTTACGACCAGTGCCTCAGAAAGGTCTAGGAAAAAACAGACCACTTTTGAACAAGCTGTCTAACAATCTTTAATTGGTTTTGGAAAAATATAAAAAAAAAAAATTGAATTAGACAAGAAAAGAGGGCTTCCCCCTCTTCAGTTCTCATCTTGAAGTTCCCCTCATCTCATATTTACTATCCCTAACTTTCTAATTGCTTTTGTCAGTATATTGCTCTTGTTTCTGACAAATTATCAGACCATGTTGCCATTGTCCAATTGCACTTCCATTTCTTGAATTGGATATTTTAACCATATAAGCTTGTAAATTTACAGACACAAGTGAAATTTGATCCCACGAATATGAACCCAATTAAAATCAACCATTCAAATTATGTCAGGCATCCCATCTACTACATTTTAACATTCTAGGTTCAATTAAGCAAAACATCATCATGTGTCAGGTCTAATGCACCGAAATACAGTAAATTTTAAATTTTTTAGACACCCAATTCACTCCAGCCACCTAAACCCAAATTACCTTAACCACCAAAGTCCTCAGAGAAAATATAGCTGGTGCATCCACGCCATTCAAGTAAGCCTTAACTTCTGGTATACCCGAACCAGCAGCTTCCGGAGCTATAAAAGCCGTAATGAGACACGCGAACAAAGTCAAACCAAAATTCGAAGATGCAAACACAAGAAAAGCCGCCCAATACCTGTAACCAAATTTCACACTCCAAATCACTACATAAAAATGTACATACACTTATGAACTCAAACAAAATGAAAAAACTTCACAGCAGTTTATAGCATAATTAGGAACATCAGCCCTGTATGAAGCTAAAGAAAACCCAAATTTCAACAAATTAACAACCTTTATATAACATACGAAATTTTTTTTAAAAAAAAGTGACATTACACTGAAATTAACCGAAATTGGAGTGCTAAAGTTGTAAATAACTGAAATGGATTCTAACTTTTTGGCCAACATCATGTTGGAGGTGACCACGAACTTCATTCCGGCGATATTCTCGACGGCCAGATTGTTTGTGAAGCCAATTAAACTGACGATGAACCCAATAAGAAAGCACAAAATCCATTTCATGAATATGTACTGACAAATCTCGATTTTCCCTCGACTCCTCCAGTCTTGCTTGAAAAAATGATTCTCTATAAGCCTACATATCAAAAACCACCAACAACTAAATTCCAATAAACAAGAAAATCTCAACTAAATCGAAGCTAAATATATATATATATATATATATATACGTGTATGTGTAGAGAGAGGGAGAGAGAGGTCTGGTACAGACTCGTAGTCGAGGCTTTCGATGGGGCAGGGATTGGAGCCGACAATGGCGACTTGGGAGGTGGTGTTGGAGGCGGATCGCCTAAGGTTGCGGTTGAGGAGAGGGAGGGTTAGGGGCTCTTCTTCTACTGTTCCACTGGGGATGGTGGTGGACATGGTTGTTTGGTTAGGGCTTTTAGAGAGAGAATGGGGTTCAAGAAGTGAGCATTGAAGAGGGGGAGACTTGAGATGAAGAAAGAGAGGGTGGAGACATTGGAGGAAGTGTAAGGGATTTGAGTGCTAGTAACAGAGAAATTCGGAGAGAGAGACTGACTGTGCTCTCGGTTATGTCCGTGACGGAGTGGAATTCTAGTTCCAGTAAACAACCTCAAAAAAGTATCAAAATAAAAAAGGATAATTGATGCACTTGTTTTCGGTCATCGGTATTGATTGCATATGAATTTGAAAAGTTTTTTTTTTTTTTTGGAAAGTTGCATTTAAATTTCATTCAATTTTTTTTAACAATTGGGATATTATAATTCACATTTGAATCTATTAAAAAAAGTAAAGCTATAAATTTAGAAGTCCTGACTTTGAATTTTGACAATCTTTTAAATTTAATTAATGAGGATTTATCCCTCATAAATAATTTAATCCTGACGTGAATGATTTATTTTTTACCTAACAAGAGAAATTACAAAATTACAAAACAAAAATCCACAACAAAAAGACTAATTTGGTATAATAAATTACAAACATCGGTATAAATCGGTGCGGGTCATTTGGTTGACCCGCCTCATAAGAGTTAAAAAAATTGTTTCTAAATTTAAAAGATGTAATTTTAGAAAGGTTTCTTAAACTTTCCTAAAAGGAATAGAATTACAATTAATATGACATTAAAAATTCTTTTTAATGAATAGACAATTTGGTATGTTTCAGCAGGTAATTATAAATTTTCACCTGACTCTGTAAGAGTAAGTAGTTATGCGTGAATCGAAAAAAATATACAATTATAGGTTACTTTGGGTAATGACCATTAGATCCATGTAAAAAGTACTTATTAGTGGATTTGGTGTAAAGTTTTCTATGATCATGCTATTCCTATTAAAAATTAAAACTTCGATATGAAATGTGATTAAATAACCTGATTTAGAATTAGATTTTTAATAATTGTAATTTTAACTCAATTTTATCAAATAAACATCCAGTTTCATAATATTTATGTAAAATATATTTATATATACTAGCAATGCACATGTAAATAAATTTAAATAATATTTATTTATAAAAATATAAATTATATGTGCAATTAAATTAAATACTAAATTAGGTATCGAATAATTAATCCGTATTTTAATTATAAAAGAGTTTAAAACAAGTTAAAACTTGAAAGTCAAATAAGAGGAAAAAAAAATTACATGAAAGTATAAAGGTAGGTATAATTGATTTTATTATAATAATTAAGTATAAATTAAGACATCAAAAAAATTTCGCAGATACTAATATTTATAAATTGTAGAGATATAGATATAAATATTCAAATCAAATCCATTAAATAAGATATAAAAGATATTGATTTGGATTTAAATGATCAGCCTAAGTAATTGAATTTGTATTCGAACAACATTCAATCCATTGACTGATCTAGTGGAATAGGAAGGAAGGAAGGAAGAGAATTCAAAATTAATAAGCAAGTTTTCTTTTGAGCTGTAAATTAATAAGTAAGTTTTCTTTGTTTAAAAATTAATAAATAAGTAATAACAGGGATGGCTTGTAAATTTAAATGTTCAGAGTTTGAATTTGACAACTTTTTGGGACTAATCTCTCATTAATACCCTAATCTCGACAGGTATGACTTGCCTGTTAACCGAATTAAGAAGAATATTAATCGAAATGTGCTTAAACTGATCCAAACATCCTGATTGTTTAAACATAATATTTATATCTATAGTATTATTATTTATTTTATTACTTATAAATGTCATCATTTGCGAAAAATTTTTAATTTTTTATTTTATCCCTAATTATTATAATAAAGACAATTATACCAACTTACATCTTTTCATCTAATTTTTAGTTTTTACTCTTATTTAACTTTCAATTTGCACCGAACTCTTTTGTTAAATTTTATAAATTCTTTTGGACTCATTAGTAATACAGTCATAGACAATTAAAATATAAATTAATTATTCGACACTTAATTTATGATTTAATTTAATTACACATATAATTCATATTTTCTAAAAAAAAATTATATTTTAAATTATATACGTGTAACGCACGTCGTGCATCGTTAATATATTATATAAAAAAATGGTAGGAAGGTTCGTGGTTGGAAGCTAAAAGAAGGCAACAACGTAAGTGAACATTTTGGATTTTGTGGTTGCTCACAATCTGCAATTTGGTGGACATGATAATGACTAATATTGGAATTATGCTCCTTAAAGTTGCCTACTCTTCTTTTCAATTGTTTTTTTTTTTTTTTTAATTATTATTATCAAAAACTAATTCATTACACAAATATAAGTATTAATGCACATCGTTTTACAAGAGAGTACAGAAGGCCAACATACCTAAACACATTTGTTACCAGCTCCTGAGTAGGTGGGGATGTATTGAGAGATGAATTCAAGCTTAATTCAGTTTTAGGACTCTTAATCGAAATTTAATTTAAACACCGGCAACTGGAGTGTTGCTTAAATTGTTAAGCTCATCCTAAATAACTTGTGTTTCAATTCAAATTATGTTTTTAATTAAAAAAAAAAATACGTATTATAATTTGAGCCAATTTTATCTCTAACTGATCTGTTAGCGTAGATTAAAATTTACTTCGAGTCGATTAAATTTATATTTTTTTATTAAAATTTGTGCCAATTGAAATTCGATTCAAGTTGATTAAAATTTATTTTTTTACGTATTAAAATTTGAGTCAATTAAAATTTATAATATTTTATGTAATAAAATTTGAATCGATCAAAATTCAAGCGAGTTAATTAAAATTTAATTCGAGCCGATTAGAAATGAATTTTAATCGGCTCAAATTTTAATACGTAAAAAAATATAAATTTTAATCGACTTGAATTTTAATACGTAAAAAATAAATTTTAATTAACAAGAATAGAGTTTTAATTGGTCCGAATTTTAGTAAGTAAATTTTTTTTAAAAATAGATGGAGTTTCATTGAATATATGTCTATCTAAGGGGGGTGTGAATGAAATTTTTTCTCAAATATATCATGGATAATTTAGTAAAATTATATTGTAGTTAACACTTTTAATCTAATAGGGGGTGTCAGTAAAAATTCAAAAAATATATAAGGTGTAACTTAAAGATTTAATAAATTAGAAGGGATGAGACTAAAATTTTTCCTTAAAGATTTTAGGGCCACAATGTATTTGTTGAATTTGACTATACTAATTCGAGTTGAATTTGAGTTGTATATTACAAGTCTAAATAGAAATTCATGCCATGCGAATTCAAATTGTTTGTGCTTTTTTAATCAAAACCTTTATCAACGTAATGAATATGCTGGATTGAGTTTAGAACTGTGAATTATGGATAAGTTTATTGTACCAAATAAATAAATAATATTGAAGTTTTTCTAGATGCTAATAATCATAGAGACTTCTACAATAACGAAAAAAAATTTGTTTTTTTTTACAAAATTTGATGATCATTTACAACTTTTGAGAGTTATTTACAATTTTTTAGGATCATTTATAGAAGTTCATTTAAAAATTCTGAGGATTTAGGATTGATCTCAATTATCCTCAAAACTTGTAAATGACCTAAAAAATTTGTAACTTGAACTATATAAATTATAATATGACCCTAAAAAAATTATATTTATTTATCGTAAATAAACTCAAAGTTTTGTATTTCAATCCACAAAAATTTGTAAATTTTGATAGTATGATACAATTTTTTTTTTTTTTTGGTAATAGTCTTCTCCTAATATCACAAGACTACTACACCAAAAAAGAAATTTTGGTACCATACCTATAAATTTTACAATTTTTATGGGTTTTGATGCAAGTTTTGTGGTTTGTTTACAACAACAAAAAAATTATAAGTATCATCACATAATAATACACCTACCACTCCAGATGTGCTAGTATTCAGAGCCGTGCCAGGAAAAACGTAAACCCGTTCATGGGTGGCTTTAATCACGACGACGTACAAAATCGATTTTGGATCATCAAATCAGTCGTGTGTGTAAGGTATGCAGGAAATTAATAAATAAATCATTACTAACAGACAAAGATTGAATGATTAAGTTTGAATGGATTAACTATTGGCAACGACTTAAAAAATTTTATTAATAAAAAAATACAAGGTAATAAAGAAAAAAAGAGAGCGAATATTAATGATGTACAAAATAGATTTATGCATAATTAACGGTCGAGTGTGTGATATTGAAAATTAACAAGACAATTAATAAACAATCAACGATCAAAAGATAAATATTAGGTCAACATACAGATATATAGTGATTCAATATAGATGACTTATTTAATTCTGGGCAAACCGCAACGGTGGTCAAAGAACCTTTATTAATAAAGTAAGATGAGAGAGAAAGCAATGGTTAGTTAGAAGAGAGAAAAGTTGTACGAGAAGTGTGTAGAGAGATGTAGAGATTTCAAGAAGTGTCCTCTCATGTAGAGAGGATTTACAATTTGAAAGCATTGAACCTTAGTTGAGGAGGTGATGTGAGGGTAAAGATATTAGTTTCTCGAAAAGGATAGCTATAAAAGGTAAGAATAATTAAGATAATTTTGATATTCAAGAATGGGTATCCCGATGATTACTCTCCACGTGCTTTAATCTTTTTTGACTCTTTAGGCTTTGAACTAGGTTAAATTCTCAAACTGGACTTGACTTCCTTTGTGGTTGATTTGAGTTCCATTGATTGGTTGGGCCAGACCCAATAAGAACTGGGCTCGTCAAACATGCACAAGGTGTAATCTGTGAGATCTGCCTCCATGTATAAAGGATTTACAATTTGTAGGCATAAAGCTCTAGATGAAGCCATGACCTGAAGGTTAATCTACTAATTTATTGAAAATGATAGTTATAATTAGAGATGGACATTATTTTGAAATAATGATTATCTTGATAATTGTTCTCCCATGTGCGTTAACTTTTCTTGAATTCTTGGGTTTTGCATTGGACTGAAG